ATTTATTTATTTATTTATTTATTTATTTATTTATTTATTTATTTATTTATTTATTTATTTATTTATTTATTTATTTATTTATTTATTTATTTATTTATTTATTTATTTATTTATTTATTTATTTATTTATTTATTTATTTATTTATTTATTTATTTATTTATTTATTTATTTATTCTAACTCAAGTGTCCGAAATGTGAAGAAGAAAACACTTTGACAGAATATAATATAGTTTTATGAAAAAAAACAACGCATTAAACACACCATTCCAATCCAGGTAGGGAGCGCGTTTCCGTTTCAAAACTGTTTACCTACATCTAGCACTAGATTTACTGCTTTTAATGAACAAGCATATATTGGTAAATTTGGGGGTTTGAAGCTACACCTCCGGCGGAGACGTGATACATCCGTATTATCGAAACGCCATCAACACCCATAGATTAATCACCAGCACTGCGTTTTTGTAACTCAAAGCGCGAACAATCACATCGATATTTATGCGCCCAAGTCCCCATATTTGACGATCAACATCCGTGCTACAGTACACAGTTCTAATCCGGAGCGGTGTGATGGACTCTCCCTCGACGTGATCGGTAATCATTTTCCATTGAGCTGATTTCAATATCAAAATCCATTTTCAAAATTGGCTGGGGACACTAACCAATTGCTCCCAGGGCTCTCCTCTCCGTATTTCTTACACACGCGTGTTTTAATAACAAAACTCGACGTCTTTTTTGCAATTATCGGTCTCGTTTAATATGTGTATTATTGTTGTCTTTTGAAACCTTTCGTCTACTGTATCTGAAGCTACGCGTCGAGGTAAGAAGGAGACAATATTTTCCTGTTCAGCTATCATTTATACATAGTACACGCAATGTACTCGCACATACTCAGTACACTGAAGATCAAACTCTCGAGGCAATTTCTGATTAAAAAGTCAGTATATATTTCTTGCAATCAATCAGAATACTAGAAAGAACACAAATAACTGAATGAAATCGCGGTATTTGTTGATGAGGCGGTCGGGTTGAACACCGAAGAGATGAGTGAGTATATACAATCAAGTGAGGTACTTCTTTAAGCAGAAAACCCACAAAAGAAAAAAAGAAAAATGTGTACTGACAAAAAAAAAAGTCACAATTTCGCTTTTATTGTGATAAGTAGCTGAAGGACGAGTGGGCTTTGAATGGTAGCTTTGTTGTTAGTGAGAGATTTCAATTTAGTAGAAGTTTAATTTAAACTGTAAGAAAAATTCTATAATGAAAGAACTCTGCGATGATGATGGTATTACAGAGTAATGCAGTGATTGAAAAACAGGGGGAAAAACGCTAATTGAAAAAGGATGTAAGCTTATACAAAAAATATTACATGTCTAGCTATCAATATGCAATGGTTCGCAGACAAGTGTATATTACAGTTACTTCTGTGGTAATATGCATCTCTAAATTAGAAAAGGTAAACTAATAACTAAAATAAAATAAAATAATAACTAAGAACATAAGGCTGTAATGTTTTTATTCTTTGCTACAACTTTTATTATTGCAAACAACCAGCTGAGTCTGAGCAGAAACAAATAAAAGTAAACACACAGACTGGAACGTGTTCCCGACGCCTCATAATATTTTTTTTTAAACTTGAAATTATGGTTGAAGAACAAAAACGTAAAAATCACACTAAAATTATAATATTTCAACACACGCATATGGATATTACGTTAAATATATAATATATCCGTATTTTCCTTAAATTGATTTCATCACGATCTAATATAATTTACAATTGTGTTTATTTCAATATCAACAAACACAACATGTGGAACGTCTTTAAAACATATATGGCTTCATCGCCATCATCGAATTATGCTGATCGTCTTCAAAACAACTGCATTGTCTGGGCTCGACATTTTTTAATTGAGACTTAATAAAGGCTAATTTTACCAGATGCACAAGTAACGAATCATGAGTCACCGGACAAAAGCTATAGATAGAGTGGGTTTGTTGAAAGAGTCTTTGTATACAATGGACTGGCTGCTGTTGATATAGATTCTGCTCACTCCCACAGAACTGTCGATTTCGGGCGGGGTCGTATACTTGGGTTGTACAGCGCGAACTAAACACGGCTGTTTTTGACACTATTTGTCCTCTGCTACGAATACTACACCGGCCGTACGCTCATATTTAAATCACGCCGGGTTCTAACCGTTCCCACGCCATGGAAACCCCCGCTTAAATTAAATCTACATCCAAGCACGATGAAAAATTGTTTTTTTCTTTATATTCAGTAGTTGTACGACACAGGCGTGAACGCTGAAGTCCCTTCCTGGACGGCTTGGGAAAACGGTGGGACAGGATTTGCACTGGCACCCTGGCCGCCTGTCCAAGGTATCGCTCGCGTGCCAGACTTCTCCATATTCTCCCGATCTCGTCGTTCTCGTGCTCGGCGGTTCTGAAACCAAATTTTTACCTGAAGGAGAAAGATAAGAGAACATACGGTTAGATACAATGATATGTATATTGAATTACATTTGTTTTTAAAACGTAAGTAACGGATAAACGCGACGAAGAATCATGACACCTGTTGCGCGTATTTACATTCCCACTACATGAGAAAACTTTTTGTTATTTTAAAAACAAATGATTAAACCTTCGATGGAAGGAACACTTTTAATTTAGAAAGGTAGCTTATTTCGAAACGTATTTCGTGTTATCGAAAACGAACATTCGAAGACCATTTCACATAAGATAATCGCTCTCACGTGCGTCGCACACGCCGACGCCGCTCGAGTAAAACCACGGCAAAGCGCTTATTTGTTACTCCCCATGACTCCTTCGAGAAACATCACTCACACAGGGGACAAAATAAAAATTGATATTGTATGTGTGCGGTAGATTAATTGAATCCACTGCGCGAAATACGTGGGAACAAAACCGTCTGAAAAAAACAAAAAAACGCCTTTATTTATTGGACTTCTGCAGAGGTTTCTGTGTTTTGTTGCGGACGGCATCGGTAGTTTGTATTTAACCTCAACGCCATGGGGGCGATGCTAATAACCACAGTGAGAATAACAATCCCGATAACAGTCGTTTATTGTGCAATTATATATTTAGAAAAATAAATTTGAATTTAATAACTTTGGATTACTGAGAAACAATAGAAATTTTTTCCCCACGATTTTTTTTAACACGAGTAAAAACAATGGAATCACGACAATACGAAATGTTTAATAAATTTATGTTCTTCATTAAGTGGGTTAATTTGTATTTATTACAGTTATTTGTGAATCAACTATCCTTGTTTTCAACACAATCATCAAATGTTCCCTCGCCGACTCGAGAAAGAGTCAAATTCGTTGATTAACTAACAACTCCGAATCAACAGGTTGCAGGGCGTCAACTTTAATGTTTCGTTATTCTGTTTTGTTCGGCCGTTTTAGTCAAAAAGAAAGAAAATGCGACAACAAATAAATAGAAATAAAAAGCACGCGCCACTTTAAATACGAGACAAACCACTGTTCACCCTATGCGCAAAATTCGCTTTACCACCACCAGCAGCAGTCAGTAGCATAAATATATCCGCCAACATCGGTGAGAGCTTATCACAGCTAGCATGGTGTATATAGTTACGCGAGTCTTTCTGTATTACATTGTTAGTAGTATAGTCTAAGTAATATCAAATCAAAGTCCCCTGCGTTAACGTGTTGTTTATATCTTTCCTCATAGATTTATAAGTTCACTGTAAATTTCACTACCTATTTATTGTTAGATCACGATTACAAATAAACAAAAAACAAAACAAAAAAACAAAACAAAAAACGACACTGTGGTTCACATTCCCGGGAACGTCATTCGAAAACTTTTTTTTTTGAAATATACTCTTATCAAATTTAGTGACACGTTTTCAGAAAGTAACAAGACTGGAACCCGATCGATACACACATATCGTAAAAAAGGGACGTAGACCTTCCCGTTACAATCAGATAATTACCCCCATTATATATCGCCATAACCACATATATAAATATGAGCGGCATTTTACTCGATAAGACAGCGGGATAATAATTCGACAGGACATCCCCGGGTACTTGGTTTCGTTACCACTAATAGTTTAGATGTATGCACTTACTACAAACTTTAAGTGCGATCAACACAAAATCAGCTGTGCAGCTGCAAGAACGCTTCAAATGCCCAAGTTGAATGCCGCATTTGAGAAACTTTTTAAAGTTTCAAGTTGTTTTAATATAATCAAGTATTTATTGAATAATGTGTTTAATATTATTCTATTTGTTTGATATAAACCAATTTGATAAATCCATTAAAAGTGTCAAAATTCTATTAAAGTACTAACTAAGAATTATAACTGTTCTTTCGTATTATTCTATCCAATCACACACAATATACGCCATGTTTGTAAATTCCGGGGATGTTCCGATTTATCAATATCGAGTTTTTTGGTCAAATAAGTTAATTGGTCAATTGTAGTGCGTTTCTCTTTCTATATATATATATACCTGTAAAGAAATAACGGCTCCAGCAAGGTACTGCACACAGACCTAACTGGGAATGTTGATTTTCGTGCAGTCGCCGGATACTCATGTTTATTCCGTGACACACACACAAGTTCGACACTGTTTCAAAGGAATATAACTCGTTAAAACACTTACCCGATTCTCACTGAGGCTGAGGGCCGCCGACAGCTCGGACACATCAATACTACTTAGGTAGTGCGTTCTTCGGAATTTCTGTTCCAACATGGCAACTTGCCCAGCTGAAAATGGTACACGGGGATTGCGTCCTAGTTTCCGTTTCTTCGTACCGTCCTTCTTCTTAACTCCTGTTGAAAGTGTGATGTAAAGAGAGAGAGAGAAATAGTCAGATGTCTACCAAGCCCGGGCTACCAAGATTTCGAGAAGGCGGTGGCTTGATTTATAGGGAATACATTCATCACGTTGTTGGTCTTTTTGACTAATCGTCTCGGGGAACGGTGATAATCATGTTTATCTCATCGGGGCACATTCACTCGGCATGTTTGGGTGACGTTGTTTTAGCTTATATTGAAAATAACTTCGAGTATTCATGTTGTTAAACATTAGAATGTCATAGCAATGACTCGATCAATGTATGAATTTACGCAACGTAATTTAACTATAAATTATTCCATGAATAAATAGTTTTACAGAATTTAATGACGTTATGGAAGTTACATTTTTACCAGTTACCGGGAAAGAGCTTAAATATCAAAATCTCCGAAACTTTTTAATCACAGTTTAGCGGATAACAAATAAATATAATGTGTTTGTGTGTATGTGGTAAAAGGATTGACGATCACGCTATTCATTCTTAGCATATATAAGTTTGAGGATATTTGTGATAACACAAACTCATTTCGGCTCAGATCAGTTAGGTTGGAAGTCATTTGAATACCACTATATCAACCGAAAACCTGTCAGATTATTTTTTTTAGATTTAGAAAAAAACTTTAACTTATTTAATCCGATTTCACGAAAGTGTTCTACCATGACTGTTAACATTGGAAAGTTCAATTATGGCAGCAAGTTTCCACCGTACAGCATTTTTCTTTCGTCTCGAAACATGAAATATTTTTTTATTAGAGAATATTTTCTAATTTTGTTTTGGTATGTACAGACGGCTGAAAAAAAAATGTTTACCATATACTGTTATTGATTTTTTTTTCTCAAAATCCCACTTTATACTATTCATTTTAAAAGTCTAAAATTACGAAAAATGATGTAATTACTTAGGGAGAGAAGAACACTGGGACAACGAATCATACAATATCCGAGGAAGGTGGAACACACCTATCGTCACCAAATTCCCGCAATACCAGGCCACGGGAGACCCCAGTGTTCCGTTTACAGTGTTGCCGAAAATATGACATTATTTATATACAGGCTGGACCCCTGGAAAAAAAACTGTAAAAGTTGTTTCCCCGGCATAGAAGAAAAAAAAAGCTGCTGGCAGGTTGAATTTTTTTTTCTCCAACTATGGTTGCAGCCATTGCTTTTGTCCGATAAAAAAAATATCGCCGAGCACCGTTACTTTTAGGAACATGAACGTGGACGAGCCCAGTGGGAGTACGTAAACTATATGTATATTGACTAAGTCACGGGCGAATATAACTTTGTGGTAATTTTTTTGTGTCCCAGAAAATATACCATTTACCGTTGTTAATATCATCGTCCAAATATACGTTCACAACTGAGCTACCGTTAACAAAGTCAGATGTAACAAGTTTTGATCCTAGCTAAATGTTAAACTCAAGAGGGGTACTTAAGAAACAAAAAACCGACAATATCAACAGAAGCGAATGATACCTTTCTAAACCGTTGCTATTTAGACGTCTGCGGTTCTCGTTGCATTCTTTTTTTACCATGATGCCACTTCAAACGAGAGTATGTTATTACCACTGATACACAACATAAAACAAATAGAAGTAGGTACAATATATACAATACATTCAAACAAAGTAAACACGCACTCATAACGTCTCACTTACTGGGCAAACGTGGTGGCTTATAACGTGTGCATTGCAGCCACGAGAAGCGAGCCATGGGATTGGAGCCATCCCCGTCATCATCTTCCAATTTGCTGCTCGAAGCTTCCTCGCTTGTGTCCGATTTATCGTTCTGTTGTTCTACAAATTCGCCGCTTTTATCGCTATCACGATCCCTACTGCTGCTGTTTCTGCCGAGTATACTATCAATAGAAAAACTGTTACTGCAGCTCTGAGACGATGTCGATGCTCCCGTGGTTGCGGTAGAGCCCGACGAAGAACTCGGTCTGTTGGACGACGATGCCGCTGCTGCTGTTGCTGTTGATGGTGATGATGATGACGACGATGCTGTTGATGTTGTTGCCGATGTCGACGTGGTTGTTGCAGCAGTGGACTTTCTGTTTTTGTCTCGACTGTTATGTGGCGGTGATTGTGGTAGGTGGTCTCGCTCCATGCTCAGACTTATGCCCGAATAGCGAGGTCCATGGAACGCCGAGGCAAAGTTAATAAAGTTCGAGGCAAAACTCGGAGAGTAAAACGGAGGCAGGGCGGGAGAAGCGCAGAATGCGGAAGGGATGATAGCAGAGCGGGTGTGATGACTTTCGAAATACGCCAAGTCACCAGAGAAGGTTGGACTTAGATATGCCATGTAGCCGACTGTGTTCCCGTGTACTGGTCGTCGATGTAATTTGTAGTTGACAGGTCTCCAGTTGGTTGAAGGCGAATGATAGATGGCTACTAAATGAGACAACTTGTTGACACCGACGTTGTTCTGAGCCAGTCCAGATTTAACAAAAAAAAAAACGAAAAAAAAACTCGATATTGCCTCTACTGTTCCCGCTCGCGGAACGCAGGTGAAAGAGATATGCTTCACCTTTTTAAGCGGAGATTCTTTATGGTTTCCATCCGGCTGTCATAACGCAGAACTTGTCGGACACGATCGATGCTGCAGTAGACCACACCTCACGTACGTACCCTGTCTGTAAATACGTTGAAAGGCCGGTAATCAGAGATTAATCAAGGAAAGGTCTGTTGGGACGAAATTGGGTGGCGTCACCAGTAACGGCCTGCGTTAAATGTTGGCACTGAATTCCGACAACCCGGTGATTCATCACGGCACGAAACGCAAACGTGGATCTCTCTAAGGTTTCCGTCTTTCCCGATCAAACCCGGTAAAGTGTCTCACCCAGTAGTACTCGGATTATGGTTATTCTGCGGATGTAGTAATGATATGGACCCCCAGCAGAGAAACATCAATATGCTGAGCCGACTTTCAGCTCGGTGCTACCTGAACCTCGGTATGGGTGACACGCAGTGGATAAAGCAGCAGATCCAACACTGGGCGAGATGATATGGAGGTGGTGTTTCCCACTCAGAATGGGCTGTAACTAACGTGTGGTAAATTGAAAACAAAGAAAGAAAACTTTCCCCTTGAATGAGTACAAATAAAACAAAGCTTCATTCTCTTAAAATAAATAATCATACAACCGACAGTACTTTCTCTTTAAAACGATGTGCGCATGTCGTGTTGTCTTCCGGCTGGTATTTGTGGCGTTCATTGTCGGCATGGTGGGATGGCTGTTCGATTGGTACTAGGAATTGATTTGGGGAAAAGCTTCTAAGCCCCATTTACATATCGCCGCGTTGAGAACCCATTCAGTAACACTCATTTGCTACTGGTGCCACGATCGAATTTACCTAAATGGTTCGACCACGCCCACAATTTGCTAAACGACAACTTAGTGCGGCGGTGTTTTTATACTATTGATGTTCTTTTGTTCGGAACGTAGGGGTGTGCTGCGATTACGAAGTTCCTGCATGGAGACGCAGGACTTTTGTTATGAATTGGCACGTCCTGTAATTGGAAATAAAAAAAAAAATGCCTGTTTTATATAAGTAATTAATTGCTGATAATAAAGGACGACCATGCATACGGAATTACTTCACATAAAATTAATTTGTTTTTAGTGGAATGCTTGTACAATTGTATGACTAATACGCACGAGATTGTGTGTTGAATTATAACTGAAGAAAAGACCACCGAAACCAACACTTTCCAGTTGATACAATGTGCTACGTACAGGGCCAGGGAATCCGAAATCCGCAGCTTAATACCATGCTTGTTTCATGCCTGGTGATACAACTGTATCCATTCCCTTGGCTCCAAGGTTGCTCTATTTTTCTGCTCAGAAAAATAAAGAAAACAGTGACAATGAGTATGTTTTTCTGTCTTTCGGGCATACACATAATTTAACCCTAAGTCACTATAGATGAGATCCATCGTTCACGTTCCCTTTTTTTTCACAATATGGGTTACCTGTGATGATTGTGTGTAGCATTGGCCCAGCATAGACGCGAGTGCATGGACGGAGAGGGGATAATTTCAGTTTCGCGAACGTACAAACAGTACTCTAATATCGTAGGTTTCGCTCGGCTCAGCCAGTAGTTTAAGCATTATACTGAGCTTTGTTTTCTAATTAACCAGATACGAAATTCATAATCAAGTGCGAATAAGTCGGGCCCAGTTGCCATAGACAGGGAATCGTTAAAGGTAGATGTCCTTCATGGATTAAGCACTCTGCGGCCACGTGAGCCCTCGACAGACTCGGAGATGCAGTTTCTTGAATGTAAGCCATGTTTAACTGAAACAGACATTGCTGTTGAGAAGTCGGGAAACTGCAATTTGTATCAACGTTTAATGTGTTGTAATTGTGTTAACAGCTCAGTATGTATATCTATGCGTTGGAATATCATAAAAGGCGACGGTATTGAGTTGTTATCACTTCCCCTCCCCAGAATAGTCTATGATATGAAATCAGCATTCCATATAATTATTATCCATCCATTGTTCAATGGTATCCAGGCAATCCAAATATATCTGTTACATTAATCACATCGCAGTAAAAAACAAACAAAACAAAAGAAATAAAATAACTTAGCATAAATTAAACAAATGCAATAAAATAAAATAAAAAAATAAAATGATGGCGATGTGAAACACACGGATCGTCAAATTTGTAGCTTAGACGACTGTGGCGTGAACGGTAACGGCCGATGCTTGGTATAGGCCAGTCGAGTCACCCAAAGAAGATAACCTTTGAGATCAAATGGCTGAAACGTGTGTGGGTGCGGTCGAAGGCTGTGTGTACCACCAACAGCTCTGTATTTGTTTCATTGTTAGAACACTCAATAGCAATATAACACTATTGGTAAATCTGAACATAAATATATATATATATATCGTATATAAATATTTATAGTGTTATTATTGCTTTCTCCTTCTATGCTCAGACCACTAAAAGAATCCTTCTATCTGTCTTAGTTCTATTCGTTCATGATAATCTGTGACTTCAAACTTATGCTGTATTTGCCATGCTATACTACGTTTAAGAGGCGGCTTTTAAAATCGTGATTATGGATGGTTTGAATACATGAATAGTATATACTCCGTAATCCGTGTTATTTGAATGTCTCCATGAAGTATGGATCCACTACTTAAAACTCAGAAAACACGGGCAACCGCGAAAATGAAACACAATCTGAACATCAGTTGAATATATAATAATTATATTCCCTTCCTGCTACTACTATTAATCTGAACTCAAATTTCGAGAACCCTCCCCCTCCTCATAATACGCCGACGAGAGACAGCGATTCGGCGAGTCCTCGGGGTATGATGTTAAGGTGGGCATTTAAGAACAATAAGAAAAGGATCATCAAAACATGTTGCTGATTACCGCTCATTTTTCATCTGATTCATCTTACGGACACACACTAACACACGACATAGCATTCGTATGGTTTCTCGTATAATCGAGCTCCTCTTTTGCGAGATTATATTATCCTCCGAATTTTCTTCGCATCTGGCGCTTTATCATGCCTCCGGTTATTAGCATGCACTTCGCAAGTGCGATGAATAATACTAATAAAAAACGCCCGTAACATAACATATAGTTTTGCATCTAGTGGTCAAATAACAGACATTGATTTCGGCAGAGAAAGATCAAACAACTCTAGGTAATCAGTGCATCAACGATTTTAGACTTATTAACCACCCCCTGAATCGATCATGAAAAGTGAGCCTCATTTCAAAAACTCTCTATGCACGGTTCGTTACATCTAATTTTGATGGGAAAGTGATTTGTTTCTACGGCGAAATAGACAAATTTGTAACGAACATCCTCCCGGGTTTCCACGGAAACAGATAAACGAAACCAAGCAATCCATTAAAATCTCGTTGCTATCAGCAACTCATTCCCGTATGGAAGTAATCATCCAATCGTTGGATTTCGTCATGTGTTCTGTTTTTTCTAGGGGCGCGGTGGAAGACGCAGAAAAGTTGATTGTTTTAGTTTTTGTCTCTATCTAAGGTAATTTCCTATTGCCATCTGTGACGTTTTTTTTTTCCTTTTTGATTTCCTATCTTATCCAGGTAAGGACGCACCGCGGCGAAGGAGCGATCGCCACCTGAGCTCAACTACACGTAGTTTTCGCCACATGTATGATTTCCTTTTCTGTTCAGGAAATCGCACACGCAGATCACCATTTAATATCATTTGCACTGAATAGGTTGAATGTTATTAGAAACCATTATTGTCTTATGCACTTCCCTGTTTTTTCTCTGATTCAATCAAATTAACACATTATAATATTGTACAAATTTGACAGAGTGTATGTATGTGTTTGTGTGGTAATGTAATGAAATGAAATGAACTGAAATGATGCACAATCACATGCACGCATAAGTCTTCCCACTTAACAACAAAACTTGATAGAAAACAAGAAACTGATTTCCTGTGAAAAAAAAGAAATAATTCCCTAGTTTTTAGTCTCACGCAAGTGGTCCGAACATACCCGGACTGAGTTCTAGCGGTCGAAACTCTGCGTGGAAGGCGAATATACTTGGGCGTCCTACAAGTATTTCTGTTGTTATATCGAGACGGCTGACTGGGTGGGTGGCTGTGGCAGATGATACATTTAATTAGCTCACTTCATTCGAGTCACAAGTAATCAGACTAGATCACCGTGTTATCTTTCACCAAACTCGTTATCACCACGGGGGTTGCCGATTTATCCGGCAACATTGCGTTTATCGGGACCTCAGTTCTGTTATACCGTGACCGATCCTGAAATATGGTGGCCACTTTTAAATCACGGTATCATTGGCGGATATATGTACAATTGTTTCCAGTTGAGACTGACAAGAATCTGCTTTATGGTGACGGTGACTCACTAAACCGTTATAGTATGTTTATTTATTTATTTATTTATTTATTTATTTATTTATTTATTTATTTATTTATTTATTTATTTATTTATTTATTTATTTATTTATTTATTTATTTATTTATTTATTTATTTATTTATTTATTTATTTATTTATTCATTCATTCATTCATTCATTTATTTATTTATTTATTTATTTATTTATTTATTTATTTATTTATTTATTTATTTATTTATTTATTTATTTATTTATTTATTTATAAGTATGTATTTGTATTTGAAGTGCCTATGAATTAACCATACGGTGTCAACTTCTTCGAACAACTTCGAAAGCCAGGAGTATATGCTTTCTATTACTATTGCTAATTCTTCTTCATGCACACAATCCGGGCCAAGAATTCGGCGAGTTCTCCATTGTCAAAGAATTAAAACACACACATACCATATATCCCAAAACATTAAAACGAGACTATGTCAGCTTTCAGTCCATTAGCACGGCAACATGGAGGTGTGTTTGCTTTGAGGATGGGAGGTTATTTACATTTGTAATTAGGTCTCTAATTAGATAAGTACCCTGATTCTGTTGTGTTAAGGTTTGTCTGCTGTAAGAACGTAATGATGTGGGAGGGACTTTACCAACGATCGAGACACTCTGGCTAGCCCCTATTGAGATTGGCTAAAGACCCAGAAAATGAACACTGCTGCTCCCACATGGTTCGTTGGTTTTTTTTTTCAGCCTGACATACTCCCAGAGTTTAGTATAACACCACAGTTGATGGTATACTCCGGAGTCGAAAAAAA